GTCAGGGGAAATTCATCCAAAGAAAGTGTGTCTCCATTGGAAGATTTCCCATCTATTCCTGTTCTAATAACAGCCCAACATTTGAGAGTTTCTTTCACTTTCATGGATGACAGTCACCAGGACAAATAGAGAGGGTGAATCTCCCTAATGCAGACACAGACAGCAATAAAAAAAAACCTGACAGGTGTTCTAATCCTTTTTTACTCTATCCAAAATAAAAGAAAACGTTTTGGCTTCTGTTTCACTTTAAATTCCTGTCACAAAAAGGAGTACTGTTCACTAAATTTGTGTGGATAGAAATTACCGTAAATTTCCAAAAAGTCAACTTTTTAGTTCTGAATAATGTGAGGAAAGATACAAATCCCTGTTGGGTTTTTACTGCTGTCTGGTTCTCCATTAGAGAGATGTTCCTGCTCTTACTGTCGTGCTGACAATGATTTTACCAGACAGGAAGTGAGGAAAAATCTGCAATACGAACACATACAACAAATAAAAGCTGATAATAGGTCTAGCCTTCTCCTACTCTACTAAAAATGTATGTTTATTTCTGTTTTTGCTGCTGTTGGAGGTTTGCCCCTCATTTCATATCCAGTAAAACTGTTTTCACCATGACAATGAGGGGAAATCTCTCTATTAGAGCACTGGAGAGCAGTAAAAGTCCAACAGGTGTTCTAAACCTTCCCAACTCTATCCAAAACACATTTTGGCTGGACAATCACTTAAGTTGACTTATTAAGCACATATAGTGAAAGTCAGGACTGGCTGAATATATTTAAAGTTCTTAAAATCTGGATTTTGTTATTATATTTTATGGTTCATTTTCGTTTCCGCCACAATCTTACAAATTATTGCATAATTTTAGTTGAGGCACTAACTAAAGTTGCATACTCTCTGTGTATCAAGGTGACTGTAAAGTTCCAGGCTAGAGGATCTTTAGCATCGTTGGCAGTAGGTAAAGGTTGATTATCTTTTTCCATGTTCCCATTACATAGGCACAAAAAGTGATTGTATATGACTGCAGATAGTGGAAGCTGTGATCAATTTCCATTCACACCTAGGAATGCTGACCAGCTAATATTTAATGTTGGGGTAAAACATCTGCCTCATGGATCCTAATTTAGGTAAAACCCCCTCTGTACTGCCTCCAGTCTTCAACCATGTGCTCCCTAGCATAACACTTAGAAAGCTGTCATCATGTTCCAGTAGAGCTAAGAATACATCTTTATAGGAGAAATTCAGAAGTAAACATAGGAACCACTGTGACAATTTGCGTAAGCAAAATTAGTTACCAGTAGAATGTATTATGTGTGAATTCATTCCGAAGGGACTTAATCTCCCATAATGATCAGTCTATCTTTGGCCATGTCACTACACTGTTTACTATATGGCTAAACATCTGCCCTTGCCCTTACCTGTGTTGGTGTGTGTATGTATATATATCACGAGCCACGAGATGACTCCAGGAGATGATTTCGTTGGGCCGCCTCGTGACTCCACGAGATGTTGAAAGGTGATGCGAGGAATCTGACACTGCACTGTTGCCCTTCTGTTGTCTTGTACCAGTAATGCCACTCTCCGTTCTGCCCTAACATTGACTAGTCGCTGACGGCCACAATTCACACGTTCAGACCCAGATTTTCGGCTGACAGTCCAGTCTTTAAACACGTTAACAATGAGCCCCTCTTGAACATTTAATGAATTCTCCTGTTTTGCTGATACTCGCTCCATGGCTCGCGCCAACAATCATCCCACGTTCAAAGGCTGTTAACCAGTTGACATCCGCGGTGTTAAACCCCCTTCCCATCCAGGCCATTTTTCAGTATTCAGCGCTGCGGTACTTTGACTGACATTTATTCCGTCATGCAACGCTGTACTGAAATGAATTTTATGCCCTTTTTTGGGGACAGATAGAGCTTTCTTTTGGTGGTATTTATTCACCACTGGGGTTTTTATTTTTTACTATATTAAGGAAAAATGACCGAAATTTGAATATACTGTTATATTTCAAAAGATAACCATAATTGCCTGTCTTTTTAAATTTCAGAGACCTTTGCAGCATGAACAATAAATGGAAATCATTTTCTTGCTAGAGCATATAATTTATCAAACTTTTTTCTTGCAGTGCTGTTCATAAATGTGACCATTTGAACTCTTTGTTAAAGTGACCCGGGAGAACGGATTCATCACAGATTCTCATAAATGAAAAGTTATTTTTAAGGACTTGCAAAAACAAAAACAATGATCTTTTCTTCTGCTGCCAATATGTATTTGACATTTACATACGTTGCATCCCCTCTGTGTTACATTTTCCCTTTTATTACAATCTCACATTTGTAAAATGTTTCTGCATACATTAAGAATCAAATAAACATTTCTTTAATGGTGCCAGGTGTGGCATTAACTAAATTTTATGCGAGGGAAAATCATCCGAGGAACATACATAGCTTTTATGTCACAGCTCACAGGAAGCACAATGTCCATAAAATATCTGTCATCTAGCCCAAACGTTTCACAGAACGTATGAATTCGAGAAACAGTCTCGAATAACGAGATAAAGGACTGGGGGAAAAACATTTTAACGGTGGCTATAAGCCTTGGCTCACTGCTAAAGTGTCTGACTAAATGGCATAGGTTGAGTGCCTCTGGTGTGCTAAAACTATTAAACAGGGCTATTAAGGTCCTTAAACTGAGGATTAATGCATGATTTACAGCCCATCGCCAGTGATAAATAGCAGCTTTACTAAAAGTAATTAAAACATTCTCTGACAAGTGCATTGTGTGAAATTATATGTTAGGGAATGTCTGAGATGGGAAACCTTTATACATCCTCACTAGTGATAATCTATTGTTTAAGTGTTTAAATGGATGATAACAGTAACTGCAAAATACATGTTTAAGCCAGCTGTAGATGACGGAAAGTGCAGGCTACATATTACCTGAACAGGGAAGGGGGAATAAAAGGGAACTGCAATTTACTACCATTTCCCTTACATATGTTGTGCAGCTACAATTATATTATGGTTGATGCTTTTTTGAAAGCCATGATGCTATTAGTGTGGGAAAAGACTGCTCAATTGGTCAAAGCTGAGCACCTGATGTCACTTTGCAAGGGAGGATGTACTTGCAAGCAGTTAGTGTCTGATAGGATGAGGGATGCTCATGAGGGACACGGCAATCAGGACTGCTTCTCTGTGCTTATCCCAATCCTTATCAATGTCAATAAAAGGGAAAATTAGGAAAGGGGGGCAAAGCTAATACTTTGTCTAGGTCCCATTTAGCCTTTATCTATCCAATGTAGACTTAACCTGTCTGTGGAGTAGGGCATAAGAAATAAATCCTACCTACTGGTTAGGTCTGCAATAAAGAGATTGTAATACACAAGGTCACTAGGTAATTTCTGCACATTGTGTTTATTTTTTTTTATATATATCTCCTCTTGGTAAATTCACAGGGCGAATATGTTGTGCTGTATCTTATGGCTAACAAATATAAAATTGTCTAAAGATGGATGAATTTTCTTGTTTAGGAACAAATTAGACCCTTGAACAACCCTTTCTTCACCCAACATACACAGTCACCATTCAGACTATTTGGTAGTTCTTAGACATGACAGGATATCTCTATTTGCTTTTACCTTTTTAACTGATATGAATAAATTGTCCTACAGGATCGTGTTTAAAATGTCTATAGCATGCACCAATCTGTCTGTGTGAGCCCAACTAAGCGTGTCCAGTCCTTACACATTTAGTCACTTTCCTCTCGCACACAATAATAAAAAAAAGGCTTGACGCATATATGAAGGGGCTGAAGTACATACCAATTATCTAGTGGGTAGATATTTTATCATCTGTTAAATTAGAATGAAAATAAAAAAGCCCTTTTTTGGTGTGAAACCCCCCCCCCCCACTCCCCCGGCAAGGAGAAGGTAAAAACAAAG